TTTTAATCTTTTAGAGCTATTATTCTTTATATTTCGATATTGCTCTCCTTGGTTTGTTTTATTTTGATTTTTGTAGGAATTGGGCTAGATTTGCTAGAGGTCTGCTTTGATCGTGATTCGACTTGTTAAAGGGAGAAATTTACATACAATAATGGACATGGCAGCCACCTCCACGGCTTGCCTGTGGGCATACAACACTCTCCACGGCCATCCTGTGGCCAACTCGTTTTCACATGGCAAAGAGCAGCTATGGCAGCCTTCTCCACGGCCTGCCTGTGGTCGAACACGGCTCTCCACAGCCTACCCGTGGTGGCTCTTAATTGCTGCGTTTTAGGCCCTTAATTATGTTAATTTAGAGTCCTAAGCCCACTAAAATTCCTAGGATATATATAAACTAATAACAAGATAGAAAAGGGTGACTTTTATCATCACAATTATTCTAATTTATACGTTGGTTTTTCTTCTTGTTCTTCCAACTTTGTTCCATTGAAGATTAATTCAAGTTCTCCATTTATTCAAGTATTTCTTCTTCTCTTTATTTCTTATTATTATTGTTATGATGTTTTCTTTTGTTAATTATTTCGTTTATTTAATCAACATGTGTGAGTAGTTTTATAATCTAGGGTTAGGTTGAACCCTAATATGGATTAATACGTTGTTTGATTCTCAATCCCATATCTAATTAATTTATAATTCCTCTTTATTAGGTTGGTTTTATTATCAATGATTAACTAGAAATAGTATTATTGAATGTGATTAGGTTTACAATGAAAATTGATTCTTAATCGATTTTAGAACCCTAATTAAAAGTAAGAATCTTTATGCATGAAAATAGCTAATTATTCTTGCTAGGACTTATGGGATGTCGTTCTTAATGTCTTTAATATGTATGACTCCATGAAAATAGGTATGATTGCATATTAGGGAAGCTATTAGTTGATCGAAAGAAACTCTTAGTATTTGTTGTAGGGAGCACCCGTCCTGTGGAATATCTATTGATTTGATTGTGGGAAAGGGATTATTTTGACGTATTGATCTATATTAGTGGGGATTCCTAATTCTAGGTGTTTTTAGTTTATATTAATCTTCGTGTTAATTTGTTTTCTTAATATTCCGTAGTTAGTAGTTAATACTCTTCATCATTGAATTTGTTACTTGCTTAGTAATAACTTGAGTCTAAATAGTTATAGGTGAACCATAGTCTCTGTGGGATCGACCCTGACTTACCCTACTACATAGTTAGGAGGATTAGTTAGGTTATTTTTGCTAGGTGTGCGACCGCCTATCAAAAATCGCCACCCACCACCAACCCACACACCACAAACGCACACACAACCACTTTACACGCAAAAAATAAAAAATAAAAAACAAAGAAAAAAAACGCAAATCGCAAAATTAAATAACAAAACATACCTCATTAATTGAAATGGAGTCGAATTTAACCACAAGAACGGTTTAACAAGGCCAAATTCGGTCATTAAAAGTCTAGATCTAGGCTTTTAATGGTCGAATTTGGCCTAAAAAACCACCAAGATCGACGTTGGGCATAGTGGTGGTACGGTGGTGTTGGTTGCGGCGAGAAGGAGGGGAAAGAAATTAAATCACGTTGGTGTGAGAATGAAGGAGGGTGAGAAGGAGGGGAAATAATTCAGAGAAGAAGGAGGCGAGAAAGAGGAAAGAAGGAGAGGAGAGAGAAGGAGAAAAGATTCAGAGAATTGCATAGAGGAAGGAGAAGAGAAGAAGAGAAAGAAAGAGAGGGGAAAGAGGCGGAGAAAGAGGGGAAAGTAATAAGCGGGAAACTTAGGGTTTTTTTATATAAATAATTACTTTTATTCCGACGGAATATTTCGTCGGAAACTTCAGTCGGATTTAAATTCCGCCGGAAAAATAATTTTCCGAGGGAATATTCCGTCGAAAACTTCCGACGGATTGTTTTTCCGCCGGAAAAGTAATTTTGCGACGGAATATTCCGTCGGAAACCTTTATATTCCAACGGATTTTAATTCCGTCGAAAAGTTCCGACGGAATAAAAATCCATCGGAACTTCTGAGTTTTCCGACGGAATTTAGTGTTCGTCGGAAACAGTCCGTCGGAAATCAGCCTATTTCTAGTATTGGATGGATCCACTTCCTACTCTTAATAGAGCATTTTCTATTGCACAACAAGTTGAGAAACACAAGGAGGTTAGTGGCAGTGTTGAGAACATTTCTTAGAGTAGTGCTATGGCTGCTCAAAGAGTTCAGTGGAATAATAATCAGAGGTTTTATCCTCGAAATAATAATAATTAACAAGTTAAGAAAGATTGAAAGAAGGAGAAGTATAACAGGAAATGTGAATATTGTAAAGGGAAGGGTCATACTGTGGATTCTTGCTTTGAATTGCATGGTTATCCTGACTGGTATAATGCACTTAAGGCTGCCAAGAATCCTAGTAATGGTCAGGAGATTGTTGCTAATGTCAATGCTGATCAAGGTCAGGAAGATCCTTTGTTTGTGGACAACAGTCATAATGTTGGAGCTTGTGGAATTGATTTTGATATGTTGAGTGTGATTTGTCAAGAAGTAATGAAGATTATGAAAGTGAAGCAGGCTGCTAGAGAGTCTGGCTTGTCATATGCAAATTTTGCAGGTACTGAAACTTATTCCTTTAATTGTTCTATGAGTAATTCTGGAGGTGCTTGTCTATGGATTGTCGATTCTAGTGCATGTGATCATATGATTTTTGATGAATCATTGATTGTGAATAAGAAGAAGCTCAGTAAACCTGTTAGAGTATGTTTACCTGATGGGACTTTTAAGTATGTTGATTTGGTTGGTTCAGTTGGATTGAATGAAAAGATAGTGTTGCATGATGCTATGCTAGTAGAAGGATTTAAGCATAATTTGTTATCAATTGGAAGATTGATTGATCAGACTGGTGTTAAGGTTTTCTTTACTAGAAATTGTTGCTGTTTTCAGGACCTTTCTAGTGTAGAGGTGATTGGATATGGACTAAGGCAAGGAGGATTGTATTACTTCTCAAGTATTGAGGTAATATCTGATGTTGCAGGTGATAATAATGTTGTAGGGTGTAATAATGTTGAATATGGTGATAGTACAGGATAAAATACTGTATTGTCTAATCAGACTAGCACTAGTATCTGTAACAAAGGTAGAGCTGGTGTTACTGTTGATTTGTTTCATGCTAGATTAGGGCATGTTTCTTTGTCCAAAATGAATCATGTTGATGTTTTTTATTGTTCTGGAATAAGTGAATATAATTGTGATGTGTGTTTACATTCTAAACATCATAATTTGCCTTCTCCTGTGAGTGATAGTAGAGCTGATGGAGTATTTGACTTGGTTCACATTGATTTGTGGGGTCCTTATAAAATTAAGGCTCTTAATGGAGCTTCTTATTTTCTTACTATACTTGATGATCATAGTAGGGTTACATGGACTTCTCTTTTACATAACAAGATGCAAGTTCAAAAGACTGTAGCTGGTTTTTTAGCTATAGTAGAAACACAGTTTTAGAAAAGGGTGAAAGTGATCAGGTCTACCAATGGGATTGAATTGGTGAAAGAGTATTGTTTAGAAATATTTGCTGCTTAAGGAATTTGCGTCTGAAAAGTGTTGCTAAGGTGCCTTAGCAGAATAAGAGAGTTGAGAGAAAACATAGGCATTCACTTGAGATCTCTATAGCTATAAGGTTTCATGCTGGTTTGCCTAGGAAGTTTTGGGGTGAATGCTTGTTGTCAGCTACTCACTTGATTAATAAACTTCCTTCTAAGGTGTTGAATTGGAAATCTCCTTATGAAATCTTTTTCAAGAAACCTCCTGGTTATGATGAACTCAGAGTTGTTGGTTGTCTTTGTTATGCATACAATTTGTCTACTAACAAAGATAAATTTGACTCGAGGGATATAATTTTTTTTTTCTAGGCTATCCTTTTGGTCAAAAGGCTTTCAAACTGTATGATATAAATTCTCATACAAGATTTGTTTCTAGGGATGTGATTTTCTTTGAGAATGTTTTCCCTTTCCAATCTGATATTCAGAAAGTTTCTGAGTGTCTTGTTCCTATTCCTCATCAGATTGTTGACTTTAGTTCTAAAAGTGTGATATTGCCTTCTGTCACACCTCAAAATTCAAATAATTTATCTTATAATGATGTTGATCCTAATCATAGTCAGTCATCTTTCATACAACCTACTTTTGTTTCTGATTCATCAGAAAATAGTTCTGACTCTATTGATTCAGCTTCTTTAGTTCCTCATCCTGATTTTGTTGAACAAAATACTTTAAGACGTTCTTCTAGACCTATAAAACCTTCATGTCAATATAAGGATTTTAAAACCACTTATATGCCTCATAGAGATATCTCTTCAAAACAGTCAGAGTCTTTTAATGTCAATTCATGCAAAGTTGTAGAGCCTGATAGTTACAATCAGGCAAAGAAGGATCATAATTGGGTTGTTGCTATGGAAAAGGAACTGAAGGCTCTAAAAGACAATGAAACCTGGGATTTGGTTTTCTTACCTAATGGTAAAAAGGCTATAGGGTCTAAATGGATATATAAAGTGAAGTTGAATCCTGATGGCTCTATAGAAAGATACAAAGCAAGATTGGTTGTTATTGGTTATCAACAGATAGAAGGGCAAGATTTCAACCAAACTTTCTCTCCGGTTGCTAAATTGGCTAGTGTGAGAATTGTGATTGCTCTTGTTACAATTAATAATTGGCCATTATGTCAATTGGATGTGAATAATGCATTTTTGCACGGATTTCTAGATGAAGAAGTGTACATGTTACCACCTGCTCGTTATGACAAGGCAAAACCTAGTCAAGTGTGCAAGCTCAAAAGGTCAATTTATGGCCTGAAACAGGCTTCTAGACAATGGAACAAGGAGTTAAACAAGTTGTTGAAGTCTCTTGGTTTTATACAGTCCACACAAGATTATTCTTTGTTTACTAGACAAAAGAATAATGAATTCTGGTGATTCTAGTATATGTAGATTACATGCTGCTGACTAGAACTTCAGTTTCTCATATTAATGAAGTAAAGAAGGCTCTAGATGAAGCTTTCACAATCAAGGATTTGGGGGAGTTGAAATATTTCCTTGGGATTGAGATTTCAAGGAACACTAAGGGTACTTTCTTGTCACAAAAGAAGTACATAAGGGATATTATTTCTGATGTTGGAATGGAGGATTGCATTCCTGTTGCTGCTCCCTTACCTACTGGTCTTAAACTCTCAACAGAAGTTGGAGAATTATTGAAGACTCCTGATACATACAAAATACTATTGGGAAGGTTGTTATACCTGCAAATAACTAAGCCTGATCTTTCCTATGTTGTACAACATTTAAGTCAATTTATACATGCTCCCAGATCGCCTCATCTTAGAGTTGCCCTGCATGTGGTAAAGTACCTAAAAGGTACTTTGAACATAGGATTATGGTATAGTGTAGATTCAGATTTGACAGTCAAAGCTTACAGTGATGAAGACTGGAATGGATGTCAGTTTAGCAGCAGATCCTTGAGTGCCTATACTGTCTTTCTTGGATCAAACTTGGTGTCTTGGAAGACCAAGAAACAACGGTTAGTCAGTAAATCCTCTGCAGAGCAGAGTATGGAAGCATGTCTGTGACTGCTAGTGAACTTGTATGGGTACATGGTTTGCTTGAGGATTTAAAAGTGCAAGTTCAGTTTCCTGTGACTCTTTACTGTGATAATATCTCAGCCAAACAACTTGCTCAGAATCCCATGTATCATGAGAAGTCAAAGCATTTGAAGAGGGATATGCATTATGTTAGAGAACAGGTTGAAGATGGTTTTCTGCAAACTGCTCATGTTTCTTCTGACAAGCAGCTGGCAGATGTTCTTACTAATCCTTTGGCTTCAACGCAACACTGGTCTTTGATTTCCAAGTTTGGACTATTGGATCAATGTCCAACTTGAAGGGGGAGTATTAGATTTATTAGATTTATTAGATTTATTGTTTATTATTTTATAAAGTTAGTTAGGTGTAACTAACTCATGTATAAATAGTGTATACTCATAATGATGATGCACCAACTTCATTTCTATATTTTTACACTATAATAAAATTTTCTCTCCAATTTTCTTCTCTCTCTCTCTCTCTCTCTACAATTTCTATATTATACTAGTACATACTATAAAATTTCTTAATTGCTTTACTAATCATATAAAATTAAATACTCAGTAACAAATAAATTACTTACTAAATATGTGTAATAAAATAAAAGTACAATAAAATGGGAAGAATTTCATCAAATGAAGGAGTTTTTAAGAATAATAAGCTACTCATTTCCAAAAAAAAAAATTAATTGGTATCATATACGATGAATAAAAAATAATTTAAGTATAAGTATATCTTTATTTTATAATTTAAAAATCATAAATTCTTGTACTTGATTTTTCATAAATTAAATGAAAGACTCCAAAAAAAAAAAGTTGAATACATAATTAGTTATGCAAACATATAAAATAGAAGGAAAAAAAAAACCTAATACACAACAGGTCTCTTTAGTTTAAAGCTAAAAGCAGCAGACTTTGACACGGAGTACAGTTAATTTGGTATGGCTGAATCAAAGAGACATGCTATCCATAATAACAGGTCTCTTGGATCAACTGCTTTTTTTTTATTATTTTATAATTTTAGGGGTAGCATGTGCTTCCCCTTGTGCCTTCCTAGATCCGTCGTTGACACCATGATTGAGTCTTAAACCAAAAAGTACAGGGCTAAATTTTCTTCAACCTCTAGTCTAGTTAAAAATATACAAAAAACTATTTAATCAGTGTTATGGAGTACATGGCTAAGTTTCCTTATGTCAACTGAAATTAAGAAGTTTATTTACAAAAGAAAATTCATTATATGGCCTAAAGTTTTACATAGGTCTACTTTGATGACAAGTGATACTTAAACATTATTCATTATTAGTGTTAGCTTTGTAAGAGCTCAATAGTCAATACATATAAACTTTAGTTTCTACGTATCATTAATATCTTAGGGTCTGTTTACTTCACCTTCGTGTTGTGATTTTATCTATGACTCGTTCAATATATGGTGTCAATTTGCAACGGGCGACATATTATTACTCCCTCGATCCTTTTTAATTTTTCCTACTGCTTGGGTCAAATTCACTATAATTGGGTCGGCCCACAAATGATTAAATTAATAGCCTCAAAGAAGGTTCAACTCTCCAAAGCATGCCGAGTAAGTCAAATAGGCCAGTCAGCGTGGCCAGCCCACATGGCTAGGAAGCCCAATAAAGCTATTTGAATAAGGTATAAAAGCCTTGACTTCCCACTCTCTCAATTTATTCACATTAAGCCTCAAGCAATTAATACTCTTTCATAGATTTCTCTCTCTAAACACTATACTAAATTCGTCATCAGAGGGGCCTTCCTCAACACCACCCCCGAGGCTAGTTTACATGTGCTTGTTGTGCAGGAAACCCTCGTCCCAGTCATCACTTGGGCTGAGTTCAGTCTTTTTCCCACAAGAAAGGTCCATTCGGAGGACCCATTATTTGCATCCGAAACAATTTGGCGCCGTCTGTGGGGAAGACAATAAAAAACAAGCCAAAAATCGATTCACTTAGCAATATGACTAAAAGTGCGAAGAAAACTAACCCTTCCTTATCCGCTGCGAAGAAATGACCTTCTTCCTCTTCGTCTTCAAAGGCTTCCTTTTCCGAGAAAGCCTCGCCTGAGAGACCATCTCATAACACTACTCAGCCGTCGAGTTCTCGCCGACCGAGTCAGTCGAATGCTAAGAGTCCAACTCCTAGCCGCCACTTGCAGTCTAAACCGAGGGGGACACCCCAGACGGGTCCCACTTCGAAAAAGGTGGAAAAAACCCTTGTGATCTTCATAGACTTCATGAAGGCCCAAGCAAACCAACAACTTCCACCTCCTGTCTCCTCGGTGCACGCTAATACAATTGAGCAGCCGCGAAACCAGAGAAGGAGAATAGGTCAAGAGGATGGAGGACGAACTCCATCTCATAAAGAACTTGAGGAGCATTGGGAAGAGGATACTTGGAGGACTAAGCGGGAAAGAAAAAGAAACCCCTAGTTCTTCGGGGAATTCGAAGACCAAAGCTTCAAGAGCAGTAACACCGCGTCCGCGCGAACCGAAACTTTTCGCCGAAATGTTCACGAACGTATCGACTCGAGGGAGGTGAGCATTCACAGCCGCCTAATGTACCCTCATGAGAGTCAGCCCTACCCTTCACAGTCCCAACAGAGGACGAAAACCACTTCCACCTCCCAAAGAGGGTGAAGCGAGGTCCCAACGGCTAGGACCAAAGGGAATGCAGTAATGACGCCTTCCAAGTCTCCATTCGTCCCGTGAATACTTGAAGAGAAAGTGCCAATGGTGAAGATCCCAGCGCATATTACCTATGACGGGACTTCAGATCCGAAGGAGCATATAGCCTCCTACGAGGGGCATATGTACCTGAACCCCTTATCCGAAGCAACACGGTGCAAGTACTTTCCTAGAACTCTTAAGGGAGTACCACAAGCTTGGATTACCAAGGGGGTAGAAGAGGGGTCAATCACTAGATAGGAGGAACTCTTTCACAAATTCAAGAGCAAATTCTCCATGGCAAATCGCCGAGAAAAAATCGCTGCTAAGCTCATGAGCCTTCAGCAGGGAGACGAAGAGAGTCTCCAAGACTACTTGACCCGGTTAAGCAATGAGTCCTCCAGAATCACAAATCTAGACCAAGGGCTAGTCGTTGTTGCGCTGCAGAATGGGCTGCAAGCTGAGAAATTCCTTGACTTCATGGTCATGCATACCCCGCATACCTTGGAGGAAGCACTCGATGCTTCGGATAAATACATCCGAGCTAAGAAATGGAACAAAACCAAGTCCCAACCCCAACCTAGGACTGGTTAAGCGAAGGGACATCAGCCCAAAGGCCAGGGCCAGAAGAAAGGGAAGGCAAAATCCTCAGAACCTTCTTCGGCAGTTGAGCCGAAAAAAAGAGAAAACCCCAATCTTAGGGAAGTACGAATCTTAAACTCCTCTCGCTCTTCCGCGTGCTAAAATTTATAGCATAACGAATAACGATGAGAAGTGGAAAAAAAGCCGAGGGCACCACCATCGTGGCACCAAAGCAAAAACAAAGACAAGTGGTGTGAATTCCATGACGCTCATGAAGAGGAGTGTATCCAGCTGAAGGATCAGAATGAAGATCAAGTCCGAAAGGGATACCTGAAGAAATACCTCGCTGACCATTGCGAGGAGAAGAAAGTCGAGCAAGATACTCGGCTCCAGCTTGATTATTACCAGAAGAAAGACAAGTCGCAGGATAAAGAAAATCCTGACATCCTTGTCATCTCCAAGGGGACGAGCTCCCGCAATGCTCGCAAGCGCCACCTGAGGAGTTTAACTCACCAAGTCAACTATGCCTCAGTTTCGAGGTCCCAAATCTCCGGTGCCGAACATCACGTCCAAGGAGTCGGCTCCACATACCATCGGCTGATGATATATGTATCGGATGCAGGCTTTGCCGAAAGGATCTAGGGGAGCCAAGAGGCTGCCCGAAAATGCAATTACAACTCCGTCAAACCCTCGAAAGATCACCAAGAGGATGAAGACGGAGATTAGAAAGAAAAAGAAAAGGACTGAAGCACTAAGAAATAGAAAGGCTTAAGTGCTTCAGCCCAAGGGACCACCCCAAAGAAAAAACAATGGGGGAAAAGGCTGGGACATCATCTGAAGCAGCAGACTCAGAGATCCAGCCGAAGTCCGAAAAACCTGCAGACATCGACAGCAGGCCGGACAACGAAGAGTCGGGTTCCAAAGCAATGGAGTTGGATCACCAGACTGAGTCAATCGAGTTGACCGAAGGAGACCTAAAAAAAGTTGTAAGCATTGGGCTCCACTAGTAGAAAAATTGCTATTAGCAACTGGCGTTATATGTGTTAGTTACTAAAACACTAATTGCAACTGGATTAAATAAAGCCAGGTACAAATACTATGTCATTACCAAGTGGCGTAGTAATGAGCGTTGCTAATACTTGAATTGAAAAACTAAAAATTTATGTTAGCAAATGGTGTATTTGATGTTAGCTGTAAAAACTATAACATTTGCAGCTGTCGTAATAATGCCTGCTGCTAAACCTGGGCACGGGCCGGGGTGGCTCGCGTGCCGCTCGGCACGACCCGCCGTTCGACGCAGCCTGGCATGGCCTGGCACGCCAATCGAACTTCGTGCCACAGGTCGTGTCACGGACAGCCTTCTGGGTTTCCAGGCACTTCCCAGCACGTGGCACGGTGTTGGGCAGGCACGAGGCACGACCCAGCACGGCACGGCCCGCGTGCCTGCCGTTTAAAACGGTAATATTACCGTTTTTCAACAGCCATTAACGGCTAGTTAACGGCTATATTTTAGCCAAATTGCTCCCCAAAATTTCTATAAATACCCACCTCTATTCACTTCCCAAATCACAAAATCACAATCTCTTCTTCTAATCTCTTATATTCTCTAATAATCCTTAATCTCTTATTCTCTTATATTCTCTAATAATTCCCTTGAATTCTCTAATTATTTTCTTAATATCGGAAAAAAATTAAAAAGTTCGTAATTGTAATTAGTGGAGCATTGAAGCACGGTTGTAAGATCTAAACTAATCTTTAATTTATTATTGTTTTTATTGTTATTATTAGAATAATCTTGTTTAATTATTATTGTTGTTAATTGTTATTGTTATTGTTATAATTGTTGTTATTAATTATTATTATTGTTACAGTTATTGTTATTATTTATTATTGTTGTTATTGTTATTGTTATAATTGTTGTTATTAATTATTATTATTGTTTTTTTTATTGTTAAAATTTTTGTTATTAATTATTATTATTGTTAATCAGTTTTTATTAAAAATCTAATTGTTAATTATGGCATCGAACAACCCATCATCTA